CACTTCTCTCATCTCCTCTGGCACCACACATGCACATGGTACACAGACAGACCTACGTGTAGGCAAAACACCCGTATATAAAAATAAATCTTTAAAACCGGGATGTAGAGAGGGTGGGTGGCTCAAGATAGTATGTCATCCGGTCTCAGGAAGGGGCTAGAACTGGGAGCTGGGAGGCTGCTGGCATCTGCATGTATCTTCTGTCACTTTAGTGTCTTCAGACTGTCCTCACCCACAGGTGAGGACAGGGCCATATTGGCTATATTTTAGGTTCCTCTGTCAAGACTGACTTGACCCGGTTCCCAAATTCCTATAGGAAAGCTCCTTTACTAGTCTGTTTTGATCACATGACTGCTTTGGTATGAGCAGCTGTGGCTAGGGTGAGGGTCACATGATCCATATAAGCTGCAGGGGGGGAGGGGCTCTTAGCTGTCAGGGTAATTTCCAAAGGTAAGAAATTCGACTCCCCCAAACCCAGAATATCTAGAATTCAGCTCCAAAGGTCTGACAGAGGAGCATTCTGTGATGTGCCCATCACGGCACCCTGTTTTCGTACGGTGACCCATCCCCTTTCCTCTTTGCTCCCAGATCCTGCATTGTGCCTCTCTTAGGCTCTTCAGTCTCCCAAAACAAGGGAAGAAGACAAAGATAGAACAGGCTTGTGCAGGGGCTCCTGTGAGCTCCAGGGTTGGTCCCAGGCTTTTCCTGCAGCTTCCTGGTGTGTTCTGTATGTGCCTGGGTGACCGGGGTATGTGCTGTGTGAGTGGCCACAGGCCTTCCTCTCCTGGAGGCCCAGACTCTCCTCTGCCCTACCCCCATGTGTCCTGCTCCTGAATTGCAGATGGACTGTGCTGGGGCCCAGGTAGATATTGATCTAGCAGTTATTCATTCAGGAAAGACTTGGAGAGTAATTTACATAAAAGTCATAATGAGAATGAAACTTCTGCTATAGAATTTGGGGACGTTATAGAGCTTAGGGGCTATGGCAGAGAAGAACCCAGGATGTGTTTCTAGCCTAGGCCTCTTGGACACAGGATCTGGTCACAGAATGTTAAGCCTGGGAGCTGAGATTAGTGGTCAGACCTGGGCCTGAAGCAGAGGTGTATAGGAGGGGAGTGGGGTTGACAAGGGTGACTGTGTTATTTATATTTCTCAATGTGTCCAAATACCCTGTAAAGGCAACATCAAGAAAAGATCTCTCCTGTCCTACAGTTCATGAGATACAGGTGACTCAAGCTTGAGAAGGCTGGCTACCAGCATTGTTAGTGAGGGAACAGAGCTAGGCAGGAGGCAGGCTGTGCTGTAACCTTTAAGTCCTACCCTTATACCCCTACACCAGTCACCTAGACCCCACGTCCAAAAGGTCCGGTAATCTCCCAGGAGAGTGCCACCAGCTGGGGACTAAGTGTTCCAATATATAAGTGGAGGGTGAGAGAGATGGAAAACTTCACATTCAGACCCTGACAGTGGGGGATGAGGATGGGCCTGATCATGCTGTCTTAGATAGTCTTAGATATCTTATGAGTTGATGGGAGAAAATGTATGTGGGCTGTAGACTGGGTATCCTTAATTAATCAATCCCCCTACCCCCAAAAACAGGTGACACCATCAACCGGGAAAAGTGATGGTTGTCTTAGTAAAGCCACTGTTCGCTGAGGTGTTTGCTGAAGCTTGGGGAGTCGGGAGTAGTCACTGTGCAGCACTCTATGACCCATAATGAAGGTTGTGGTGCCACTTTGGTTCTGATGGGAGGGGAGAACCGTGTTTCAGAAACCCAGAGGCAGAGGGATAGAGTGGGGGGCAGGAGTGGGGGAGGGGGAGGTTGCAGGCACACCCACTGCTTTTTCCTTGACCAGACGGACTCAGAGGAAGGGAAAGCTGGGTGAAGTCCCTACAGTGCCGTGTGTGTACATGGAGAGAGAAGGGGTAGCAGAGAGGAAGACAGATTAGGTTTGGAGGTGCCAGTCAAAGGTATCACAACAGTGTCAGAGGCCAAAAAGGGTTGTCTGTGCCACACCTCCCCTCCAGACACGAGAACATCTCATCACGCTGGTTGATGGCTCGCTGTTGGCGGTGTTCCAGCCAGGTCTTCAAAAAATGCTGACTCGTTAATCCTCACAATTGCTGGTAACGCTGATATTGTTACAGCCAAGTTCCCAATTTGGGGAAACCAAGGCATAGAGAGGTTAAGTTGTTGTTGTTTTTTTTCTCCACAAAACCCCAGTTTTTGCTTCCTGTGAGCTGCTGGAAGTGCCAGGGACCAGTGTGGTGGATGGGTACAGCAAGCACCAAAGATGGACGGTGCTGACCTGCACACAGCAGGAACCCTGCTGGGTCTAGCACTGAAGAGAATAGCATGCGACTGTGTGAGGAAAGATGGAGAACATCTTCCTCCCCCAGGGTCTCTGCTGGAAGCTAAGAGGCTGCATCTGTGTGTGCCTTGGGGTGAGGGGATCTAGAAGGATGATGAGAGCCAGTTCTCGCTGGGGCCTGGAATGGGCCTTGCCAGCAGGCATCTCCTGAGTCTGTCAATGGGCTGTTCCCTCCAGGCTGGCTGCAGTTCAGCCATGATGTACTCTATGCATCTGTGTCTGCAAATAGGCAGGAGGGACATCATTCTACCTGGGCTGGGAGCAAAGGTCCCAGGGCAGCTGAGCCCGGGAACCTCTCTCTCTCCTCCAACTCGCACTTGTCCTGGCAGTTACCTTTGGGATCCCTCACCTAGAGTTCTAGCTTTGCCCAGTGGAAGTGATGCTAACCCACTGCCTTCCTGGTCAGCAGTCCAACCTAATTCATTTCCCTTTTATTTCATTTCATAACCTTTCTCCTTTTCTATAGCTTTATAGTACTCCACTGCAGACACACAGCAGCCTGTTTAAACAGCTCCTATTTCTAGCTATTTGCTTGTTCTCTTTTTCCCCTTTTGTTGTTTCTCAGAATGCCACAGAGAATTATCTTATACACAGCTCACTTTATGCTCATACAGATGCCTCTGTGGTCTATTTTCGCTTCTCAACTATCTATGTGTTTCGAGGGAGCAGGTTTGACTTCTCAATTTACAATCTGTTGCAGATGGATGCTTACCTACAATTCAATAACAGTAAATTACTAGAGAAATGAATTGAAAAGCAACATGAAAAATACAAGCCTAAATGTCTTTGTCTTTTCTCTTTGTTTTATGGTGCTGAGGTGGGAGCCAAGGCCTTGCACATGAATGCTATAACTCTACCACTGAGCCACACTCCCAGACACAGACATTTGATTATTAGAGTCAATGTCCATAAAAATTACTCAAATTACATTTGGGATTTTTAAACACTGATTTCTAAATGTCTGCATCTGTCTTACCACAGAGTTGTTGCTGTGTAAGACGCAATGCTGGCCCATGGATCTCACTTTGAGGACAACAAGCCTAGAGTCCCATATTAGGTTAGTGGGTCAAAGGGTAAATATGGAGGCTCCAGAGGGGCTGTGTCATTTGACACACACCAGTAGAATAAGACAGGGTGCATCATTTCCTCACAGCCTCTTCAGGGGGGAGAGCTGCCTGACTCTTTGCTGACAGGGGGAGAATTTCAATTCCAGGCTAAGTGTTAATTTGCATTTCTTTGAGAGTGTGAGAAAAAGTGTCAATCAGATTATAAGCCCTGTTTGGATTTATATCCTTTACCCATTTTTTTCCTACTGGATTGTTGGTCATTTTCTTCTTAATTCCTAGGAGTTCTTTGCATATTTAGGAATATTATCTCCTTGTCTGTTATCAGAAACACAGTTTTTTTAGGTTTGCCATTGGCCTTGTATGTGTTCATGCGAGTGCATGAGCACTCATGGTCATGTGTGTAGAGACCAGAGATTGATCTTGGTGTCATTTCTTAGGAGCTGTCCACCTTGTCTTTTCAGTGTTTCATTTGGCCTAGAACTTCCCAAGTAGATTATGGTGGCTAGCCAGCAAGTCCCATCTGCCTGTCTTTGATGCCTAGCATGAGGAATACAAGCCCTTGGCTTTTTTATTGGAGTCTTTGGATCCATCTCAGGTCTCCAAGCACTTTACATACTGAGCTACCCGCCCCTGCACCCCACCCTTAGAACCTTGAAAGATCTTACTAGGTGGCCCAGAGTGGCCCGTAAATCTTCAATCCTCCTGCCTCAGTCTCCTGGAATTGCAGACGTGCACCATTGTGATGGCTACCTTTTGTCATCTGCCATTTGATGTTATTTTTAGTGGCAAGGGTTCTACACTTTCATGCAAAGGTTTACACTTTGAAGGACATCAAATTTATCAAGATTTTCTTTGATGATGTCTGGATTTTGTTGTAGTTTTCACTCCAAGGCTTGACAGATTCTGTTCAAATTTTCTTCTAGTATTTTCATGACTTTACCCTTAACATTCAAATCTTGAATTAAATTTGAAATTTTCCTGGCATAAAATATGAGGCCAGAATTGGACTTGAGGGGCTAGAGAGATGGCTCAGCAGTTAAGAGCAGTGTCTACTCTTCCAGAGGACCCAGGTTCTAATTCCCAGCACCCACATGGCAGTTCACAATTGTCTGTAACCCCAGTTCCAGGGAACCTGACACCTTTGCACCAATGCACATAAAATAAATTTAAATAAATTATAAAAAAATTGGACTTGAATCTGAGCTTTTCTTTCTGCACATGACTGCCCACTGCCCCGGTTCCATTTATTAAATGGATCCCACCTTTATCATTAAAGCTAATTTTAAAGCATTTGGAATCATAATAGAAAAGGCTTTATAATTTGTCAATTTTGTCCAGAATACCATTACAAGGGAAATTAGCTTTCAAGATATGATCTATAACTTTGCATTATTAGAACTGAGTAACATAAATACAATATGAATTTATTTTTTAAAAACCCTCTGGGGCCATTGACAACCCTAAGGAAGCAGAGAAGTGGGCATTGATGGAAAGAGCAATTGATGAGATTGAGTCTTTCACTGCAGGTCTTTCCCCAGGCCTGCCTCCAGGAGCTAAGACAGCAGAGGGGCCCACCATGGTTGTCGCAGGACCCCTGGCTGTCTCGCTGTTGCTGCCCAGCTTCACCCTGCTGGTGTCCCACCTCTCCAGCTCCCAGGACATCTCCAGTGAGCTCAGCAGTGAACAGCAGCTGTGCGCCCGGAAGGAGCACCCCATTGTGGCCTTTGAAGGTGAGAGTGCCCCCCCCTCCCCGTGTCCTGAAGGACTTGGGTCAGTCCTCAGGAGGGCCTTCCAGGTTGTCTGAAGCCCTTCCTGTAGGCCCTGAGACCCTTCCTCTGGTAGCTGTCTTAAGGCTTGGCAGCCATGGGCTGGAGAGCTCTAATTTCTCCAGATAACAGATAATTTTACTCAGGCCCTTCACCTACGCCTACCCCAGGGCAGTTATTGTCTTTCCGTGGGATCTTTGGATGGATGATGAAGTAAATGGATGCCCCAGTGGGAGCAAACTCTGATTTGGTTGGTGGTCTCGGCTCTGGAGGTTCTCAGGCTTGGCTTGGCTTCTTGAGGGCAGGAGGGAGATGACTCACTCAAGAGAAAGAGCCTAGAAGATCTCTGGGAAGTGTCCTTCTTGCTCTAAGCTGACTGTAGGGATGTCTGTCTTTAGAGTCCTGGGAACCCCCAGAAGAAGAGGCCCTGGTGACTCATAACTTCTCTGCTTGTCAAGGGAGAGCGTGGGAGTGTCCTATTAAAGGGTTTCCCAATCTTGGATGAGCACATCCCTGGATGTAGTCCAGGGGGTCTGTAAGTTCTCCAGAATTTCTAAAATTAGGACAACTAAATTTGATGATAACCAAAAAATAAAACACAAATCCTGGAGAGGCCTGGATGATCTCCCATGGCCTGTTAAGACATCTGAGTGTTCCTGATCACATTCACACTCTGGGAACCGCCTATGTGGCAGCTCATACTGGGATCTACAGATCAGATGACAGGGTCCCCCATTTCTTAATACTGACCAGCAGTGGCTTGGTCACTCCTCATACTAACCCTTATTGGGGAGGGTGAGCAGGAAAACACAGGCTTGGGGACTGAAGGGACTTGTCAGAGCCAGGCCTCAAGGTCCATCTCCTGGTGTCACCACTGTTGAAAAGCCATCAGATGCTCAGCCTCATAAGACCTGTGCTGCCATGTGGAGGAAGCAGTTTGGAAACCAGAGTGGAAAATCAGCCACTGAGTCTGAGGCTGGGGTGGGATTTGAGGGGTAGGTTGGGTGCTCGTGGATGGGAGGAAAGGCTAGGGGTATTCTAGATCTCCAGGCTCCCAGCTGTGTGCTGGCTCCCTTCTCTGAGAGGAAAACTTCTAGCTGTCTTCTCCACGCTGACTTGTTTGAGCTGGGATCCTGGCTTTGAAGGCTTAAGTGGATTATAGTAAATTAGCAATGTCTTCAGTATACAAAACGTGCGCACACGCTCAGACTTCTGATGGCTCCCGGTGACTCTGAAGAGAACCAAGGAGGCTGCCGGGACTGAAGAAGCAGTATTCCTATGGCTATTGTCACGCCAGGAGGGGCCTGTGACAAGTCTTAATGCAACATTTCCTGTCAGGGACTTTGCCTGGATGCTAGGGGTCCAGCTGACCAGGAGGGGCCCCACCCCCTCCCCCTTTGTAGGGGCACTGGCCTGAAACAGGGGATAGGAAAAGTGGAGGATGGTTCTGAGTTTCTGGGTTTCCAATGAGCAATTTTAACCATTATGTGGGAACTGAGTGTCCACCCCACCTACTTACAGAATGAGGGACTCAGCCATATCATCACTACCCTGACAGCTTTGGGTTGTCACCTCCATACACAAAATTAGTGTGTGTGTGTGTGTGTGTGTGTGTGTGTGTGTGTGTGTATTTGTATGTATGTTTTCCTGGGGACTGGGGCTAGGGACTTACGAAATACAAGCACACCATATTTTAATGACCCTGATCGGTGCCAGGCATGGAACAGTTGCTATGGGGCCTCAGAGGCAAGCATGTGTTCCCTTTGGGGCTCAGTAATTTCCTATTATTCCTCAAAGGTCAGTGCCTCTGTTCCACCCGCCCAGCTGAGCCTTTAGCAGCTCTGTTTCCTGGGTCTCCTCACATCTGTAGTATGCTAAGCACACAGTAGGTCCCATGGGTCAGGAGCTGTTCCAGGAAAGTTGTCCTAATCCAGCTCAGTACCAACCACTTCCAAGACCCCAGCCCTTGTGCTGCCTGTCTGAGGGAGCCACAGGCCTCCCACCTTGCAGCTGTGAGCTGCCTTCTCTCCCCAGACACCTGACAGATCTGTGAATAATCCCCCAAGCACCCACAAGCATCGGGCAGTTGCAGAAGCAGACTGGCAGCATTTTGTTTTTTACAGTTCAATTTCCTCCTGTGGGTTCCTTTTAAGGAGGCCCACCTGGGCTTCTCTTTGGCCTGCATATTATTCCATTTGCCACAGCATGCCCTTTCTAGATGGCAGGGAGAAGCCAGCCTGGAGTTAACACTGGCGGTGGTTAATCCACAAAGTGGGTAATTGAATTGACTATAATTAAAATCACAGGCGCGTCATGGAGAATGTCATTTTTCTCTTAAAGTCGCCGTCCAAAGCCTCTGCTGTACTTGGAGCTCAGAACGTGCTTGGTGTTTTAAAGTCTTCCCTCTGGTCCCCTTTGCCTGTTTAATAAGAGGAGGCTGGCTCTATTCCCAAGGCCTCCCCGGGATTGCGGCACTGTGCCCAGCCATGGCCCCCTCCACTTGACTGTGTGAGTTCCTTCGGGGCTGGGGGAGAGGGACACCAACTGAAAGAGGCCCCCACTTCCACCTCCTCACTCTCATGGAAGCCCAGACTATTTACTCCTTGCCTCTCCCCACTGAGAACAGATCTAAAAGGAGACCCAGCTGAGTCCTCAGGCAGTATCTGAGACAGAGCTGTCATCCCAACTCCCTCTGCTGCCTTCACCTGAAATACCCCTGACCACAGAGATGGGAAGTTAAAGGACAACCTGTTTGCTACTGTTAGGGACCATCTGGTCTGGGAGAATGGGTGGAGGGAAGGTGGAGAGGATGTGGAGACGGTCTAACCTTGGAGGTCTTCCTGGAGGAGATGAGCACTCCATTTAGTCTGTACCAGAACTTCCTGTGGCCCTGGGTTAGCTGAAAACTAGCCCACTGGACTTTAGACTCTACTCATCGAATGGCCCAGGTGCCATGAGACTGTATGACAATTCTTGCCAATATGTAGCCACCTACTGGGGCTTAAAGGGTTCACTTCATTTTGTTGCAGGATTTCTTCCCTCGTTTTCTCTCTCTCTCTTTCTCTCTTTTTTTATTGTACATATCACAGTTTTCTGAAAAACATCCAACTCGCAAAACCTCCAGCTCTCCCGGGAGTGATTAAGTGTTTGCCTGTCGTGCAGAAATGAAGGGCCGTTTTTACTCTGTAGTGGAGGGATAATGAGCAATGATTTATATCCCTTGGATCTCTCTCTCTCTCTCTCTCTCTCTCTCTCTCTCTCTCTCTCTGTGGGGAGAAAGAAGAAGGGGTTTCCCCATCAGCATCCTCCCCTCCCCCCAGTGTGGGTCAAGCAAGAAAAGTTCCGGTACCATGGGGCAACCTGGGAGAAATGGGTCTCCAGGGAGGACTGAGGAAAGGTCAATGGGCTTTCACCCAGCAGTTAGACCATGAGGCCTGTTCTTGCTCCCCGACCCAACCAGTCCCCATGAAAGGCTTTGGCTTTGACTAGGAAGAGTGCTCTCAAAGATGGAGGTAGACGATGACCCCCCCCCAACCTCTGCTCCTCCCACCCCTGTGCTATCTTATCCGAAAGCCTGATCCTTTTTCTAGGAGTTGAGGAGTATTCATTCATATATTCAAACGCTGTTATAAGGTGGGGCCTGGAGATTCTGGCCCCAAGGTCTTATCTGGAGCCAGGGCAGACCGCCTGAATACACACTACCATGAAATAATGATGTCAGGTAGCAGAAGCCTGTAGGGTCTCTTCGATCCTACTGGGTGGAGTCAGGAAAGTCTTGGAAGTGGTGGAGATGGGACTGGCAGAACTGTATTATTTAAGGAACCACAGAGTACAAAGGTTTGTGGGCTCCATGGAATGGATCGGGGAAGTCTGAGAATTTTTAGATTAGTGGTGGGGGTGGGGGGGTGGGGGTTGGTGGTGAAGAGTTTGAGCAAATGTCAACTGGTCATTCAATAAGTAAATAATGAATGCCAGACACTTAGCTGGAGAAGTCAGTGGGGCCAGAACCCAAAAGTAACAGGGGCTGAGACATTTTGGGGGGGTTACTGGGAAAGGATCTAAGCCTGAGACTGGCGTAGCTACATGGAAACATCACTCTGGTTGCCTTGTAGGAAGCGAGGGAAAGGTGCGGGAGGCAGATGAGTTAGGAGGCTATTGGCACCAGTCTAGGCAAAAAAGGACAGTGGCTTACATGGGGATGAGAGAAACCAGGGGAGCCTGGAACCTGGGGGAAGAGCAAACTGGATGTGTATTGAGGTGGCTGCTCAGGGTCTCTGGGGGACCAAGATTACAGGTTTTTCTTTGCGTGGGGTAGAGTCCTCCCCCAGAGACAAAAGTGGTGACAATACTCTAGTCCCTGAGGTCACAAGGCTGGCTGCTTGCAGAGGTGGGCAGGTGAAACCCAGGTCTCCTGGGGGCTTCAACCATACTCCATCCCTGCTGTCGCTCATCTTCTCTGGGTTGATGCTGTGAAGCTGGAAGCTTCCAACAGTAACAGAAGGTCTCTCTCACCAGATCTGAAGCCATGGGTCTCCAACTTCACGTATCCTGGAGTCCAGGATTTCTCCCAGCTTGCCCTTGATCCCTCCAGGAACCAGCTCATCGTGGGAGCTAGGTAATGGGTTACAGAGATGGGGGAGAGAATTGGGCACTTGGGATGGGATAGAGGGGATTGTCTTAGGGTTTCCATTACTGCAATGAAACACTATGACTAAAAAGAAAGTTGGGGAGGAAGGGGATTATTAGGCTTACACTTTCAGCATTGCTGTTCATCACCGAAGGAAATAAGGACAGGGACTTAAACAGGGCAGGATCCTGGAGACAGGAGCTGGTGCAGAGGCCATGGAGGGGAGCTGCTCACTGGCTGCTCACTCACTTGCTGCTCAGTCTCCTTTCTTATTGAAACCAGGACCACCTGCCCAGGCATGGCATCACCCACCACGGGCTGGGCCCTTCCTCAGTGATCACTAAATGAAAAAATGCCTTACAGCTGGATCTCAAGGAGGCATTTCCTCAGCTGAGGCTCTTTCCTCTGATGACTCTAACTTGCGTCAAGTTGACAAACAAAAACATCCAGTACAGGGATACCATTGGGATGAGTACACTGTGGATTCATTGGTCTCCTGGGTCCCTGTCCTCCTTGCCAGGCCCTGTCTGTGTTAATGACTGTCATGTAGGGGAGTTGTGAGAGCTGGGGTAAAGAGGGCCTCCACCTCACCATCTCAATTAAATTCATTCATCAAGAGTTGTTAGGGTATTAAGAGCAAGGGCAGCTGCCCTGATGCCAGGAGCGGTCCAGTTAGAGGTGCCCAGGAGCCCCCTGCTGGCCAACTGGCTGCCTGTACCTAGAGTGCTGGTGTAGACCTTATGCCTCTTCTATTAAGGCCCTCATTTCTGTAACCTACCCACCTTTGTCCCCACTGTCCAGATCCAAATTCAGAAGTAAAACCCTATCTCCCAGGCTTCTAGGCAGAGTGGGAAGAGCTCACTATCATGAATCATTTGTTGCCAGCTTTGGAAGCAAGGAGCTTAGAGATAAGGCAGGGGTCCCTGGGCTGCCCCCCCCCCCGTAGCTCCTGGGAACTTGCTAAAAGGTAATATTTCAGTCTTCCCCAGTCTCTTGGGTCAGAAACTCCAGGCATAGGCCCCAATCTTGTTTTAGTGAGGCCTCGCATGACTGGTGCTCAAACTTAGAAATGGTCTGACCCAGCACCACACAGCAAGAAGGCACGTGCTGGGAACTTGAACTCAGGCCTCCTGACTCCAGGGCTATGGGTCTGTATTAGGACAACTGAAAGCATGGCATTCTGACTCAGCTTGGGTAGGTGGGAAGAACACTTCCAGGGGACACTGTGGAGCTGGCCATACCTGCCCTTTGGCTGTCCCCCTTTTGTTTGCTGTATGAAAAAGAGGTGAATCACCTACAAAGCTCTGATCAGCTGAGCTGGGTCCTTGTCTGGATAAACTTGACCTTGGTGTCTCAGTTTCCTCTTCTATGGCCAACCTTCCTGGGATTCTGGGATTGCTGAGGTGCTGGGATTCTGGGATTGCTGAGATGCTGGGATGCTGGGGTGCTGGGGTGCTAGAGCTGCAACCATTTACATTTTTTCTGAATGAAGTATTAGTTTATAGCAGCATTGTATTTGTTCCAGTGTAACATTTCAGCCACAAAAGACTATTCTGGAAGAACCAAGCCATACTCGTGCGCACGCACGCACGCGCGCACGCACGCGCGCGCACACACACACACGCGCGCATGCACGCGCGCGCGCACACACACACACACACACACACACACACACACACACACACACACAAGCAGTCTTCTCTAGGTACTGGCATCCTCTGAAAGGTGATCTGTACAAATGCAGGCAGATGAGAGTATGGGCTTTCTTTCTCAGTAAAGATAGTATTTGTTTTGCTTTCTATTTTGAGAAGGTTGCCCACTCACATACAGAGAGATCTCATATCCTCTGCTCCCAGGTCCTGCCAGAGGCAACATCATATAATATATAATATATACATATATATCAGAAATATAATCTAGAAACTGATATTCATGTCATCCTTTCTCCTGGCTTAGGTTTTACCAGCCAGCTCTTTGACTAATTATGTCTATTCACTTCTGTAATCCTAGCGTTAGGGAGAATGAGGCAGGAGGCTCCACCCTGAGTTCAAGACAAGCCCAGGCTACACCGTGAAGCCTTGTCTGCAAAACTGAAAAAAGCAAACAAGTGGGGCTAGTAAGATGGCTCAGCAAATAAAGGAGCTTGCTGCCAAACCTGAGGATCTGAGTTTGATCCCCAGGACCTACATGCATGTCATGGCATCCACATGCTCCCACACATACATACCCAGACAAATTCACACACACACACAATGCCTTAAAATATAAGAAGTCCTGACAACAAACAAACCCAGAAACATACATATATGCCTTTTATACCCAAAGAGCAGCATTCCAAGACTGTGCTCTGAACCCCAAGAAAGCATTTGGAAAAATGCAGGATTTTCCGAGGCATCTGTGTGATAAATCGGATAACACATGCAGTACATCACACAACAGATAATCTAGAGTGTGTAGTAAGGCACGGATGCAGAAAAAAAAATCCAGGCTTTACTGCCAGCCCTGGGGGCAGATGCTGTGAGGCTCCCATTTGTAGATGGAGAAACAGTGACAAAGAGGTTGTCATCTGCCTGTGGCCACACTGCCCCACCCAATCCACTTTGGGTCTCCCATAAAAAAGGTGGTTGTACTTTCTGTCTGTAGGTTTTCTTCACATAGCTAGAGGCACAGCTTCTCCTAGGCCTTTGAGCCTAGCTCTTCCTAGAGAGGGAGGCATTCCATCCTGGACTGGTCCCTTCTGCCCCTAGAGCCAATGTCCTGAATCCTGGGTTCTTTCTGATGCTCCACTCCTGTTTTTTTCTCCCCCATCTCTCCTCAGCACCCTTGGCCCTCTGGAATTCAGGCTGGAGAAATGTTTTTATCCATTTATAGCCTGCCTTATTACCTATGGGAGCGGGAGCTGGGTGGGATGCAGCAGTTTCCTGCTCTTGTCTCCCAGTTCCCCTAAGAGCCCACTGAGATGTTGTGATGCATGATTTTTGATGGGATAAAAATGAATTGAGTGATGCGATGTTTCCCCTAACTTGTTAAAGCTGTGAGCAGATGCCTGCATTACCTGTGCTCACAGCTGGGGCAGAGCCACAAGCTGGAACCCATCTGTCCCTGGGCCAAGAGTATGGAGGCCGGGAAACTCTGCCAAAGACCTGAGAGGGGGCTGGGGAGGGACAGCAGAGGCTTGGAGCCAAGGTCGTGGGCAAGGCCACCCTGCCCTAGGCCAGTGGAGAAGCAATGCGAATCTTCTTCTGGGCCAGCAGCCAAATCATGGAGAGGAATCTCCCAGCCTGAACTGTCCTGTTCCCACCCCTGCCTTCCTTCAGCAGGGCCCCTCCTTCCCTTTCTGGCCCAGTCTCTCCTTATTTCTTCTCAGTACAGCTGAGGTGGCCAGAAGTTCCTAGATTAATTATTCCTAAAAAGTTCAGGAACCCGAAAAGGGGATGGCCAAAGGCAAATAGAAAAGGGAAAGAAGGTTCTTTGGAAAAACTAAGCTACATCTGCTTGTCATTAACAAAGCCTTTTTATGTGTCTCCAAGAAGTCAGGCATGAACTAGTTCTCCATTTTACAGACATAGACACTGAGGCCCACCAGGCCTCAGCAAACAGTGGAGCTGGGAACATACCTCTTTCTGCTACAGGGCCTGTTCTCAAAGCCTAAACTCTTTGTGCCAACACACTTTGACCCAGTGGGTCCCCCCACCACCCCTGTGACTCCCAAATTCTAAGTCTTGGCCAGCTGGCTGCAGAGTTCAAGGACAACAGAATCAGTGGTGATGCTGAATACACAATGGCGTTGGCATCACCACCACCACCATCACCATCATCATCACCATCATCACCATCATCATCACCATCATCACCATCATCATCCTTACAGTTAAGGCTCGTGAGCCACCAGCTGTTACATGAGAGTGGTATAGAGGCTGGCAGTGCTGTACTGACTGGGCTGTGGAGACAGCAGTCCAGGGAGAGGCTATGGAAAAGGCAAATCCAGAGTCCCTGGCTAGAGATGAGGCTGCACACAGGACCCCAGGGCCTATGTGGGAGGTCCATCTGAATCTCTGCAAGACATCTTGAGGTTTCAGTGAACAGAAACAGGCTATGTAGTTAAGAAAGGCAAGGTCACGAACTAAACAAAGCCAGTTAATTTACAGATGTTAACTGACTTTATCTTGATTCTAGAATCTGGTGGACATGGCCAAAGAGCTTGACTGTATAGACAGAGAAGGGAAGTGTCCGGGGAGTGGAAACAGCACAAAGAAGACCAGACATTTCCAAATTACCTTCCCTGTAAAGTGGACACAGGGAGATAGAAAACAGAGGACTAACTGTTGTTAACTCCAGGTGACTTCCCATGACTCAGGGCAGAGAGCACTTTACTATCATGGCAACAGAAACTAGGCTGGCTGGGAATGTGGCCGTTCCTTTTTACTAATTTCTCAGAAGGCCAGTTTTGCTTTAATGAGGAGTATTCGATGTGAACACGGATGACTCCATTTTGATTTTTTAGTCTGGTCTGCTGAGACCCCTTATGAGAACTTAGTTCAGAACAATGGCATCCTGTTAGTTCTATTCAGCAGTGGATTCAGGCAGTTCCTTCCTGTGTTTGCTGGGTCAGCCAGAAGCAGATACAGCATGAAGTCTGTAGGTTACTCCCATTACACAACCTGCCTCCCGTAAAATGGAATTTCCTATAGCTACTGCCAGGCTGGGTGAAGGTTCAATGAACTAACCAAGGTGAAGCTTTTTCTTGGGGCTGGCTCACCCTAAGTCCATGCACCCCATGAGACCTGGGCTGGGAGGTTGCCTGTCAGAGTCCTACCCACAGTGAGAGTGACTTTTTCTGTTCTGTTTTCACAGGAACTACCTCTTCAGACTCAGCCTTGCCAATGTTTCCCTCCTTCAGGTACATTTGCTTTTCTTCCCTTCCCGTGCTTTTTCTGTATTTGGAAACTGGGAGCTGGGCAGTGCAAGTAGCAGGATACCTAATCATCCCCTAGGATCAGCTGCAGGAGCCCCCTATTCTTTTCCTGGTCACAAACTAAAACCCTGCTATCAAAGTCACTGCTGGGAGGATACGTGGAAGTGGATGCAAACCACTCTCACATGGAGGCACACACAGGTTCATGCTTTATGTTGAGGTGCTGACAAGGAAAGGAAAAAGGACTGGGGTGTCTCCTCTCCCTGCCCCTGTTGGCTGAGACTAAGGGCTTTGCCAGGGTGCAAATGAGACCAGTGAGTCTCTACAGGGCAAATGAGACCAGTGAGTCACTCAAAGTACAACACCGAAATCAGCAGGAGAGGCCCAGAGTTTGGGCCTCAGGGGAAATGGTGTCTCTGGCTCCCTTCTTAGCTTGGCCTGAGAGATGCTGGTCCATCTCGGCATTTTCGTTGAACTGTGATTGATTTATTATCTGCTGCCAAGCAAGGCTCCCCAAGCATAATTCCCTAAGTGCTCCGAGAGGCTTTTTAATGGGACTCCTTGATCCAGAACAGTTATCCCAGATTGAGAAACAGATGCCAAACCATCTCTGCAGAGGCTGAACATTATAGAGAAAGGACAGCCATTCTTCTTCAGGGAGGGAGAGCTTCCCTTGACCTGTCCAGGAGCTGTCTTAACAGTCTAGTGTTGGTTGGGCACTTATTGAACACTGAGCTGGAAGCTTGGAGGTATTAGACCAGCGGATTCTTGAACTCTCGGGAAAAATGATGATGGATGCAAGCAATCTAGTTAGAACTCGGGCGTTAATCAAGTGCTGGGCTGTTGGGCATGGGGTTTTGCAGCAGCAGCAGTTAGGGAAGGGAAGACCTCCTTGGTAAGCCAGTTTGACCTTCTGGTCTCCTTGCTTCCAACCTGGTCTACACTCTCAGTGACTCTTGTACCTCTTGGCTGAACACCAGAAGAAATATCTAAGGGTGTAAGGGATGTGCTCTCTGGAAAGGAGGGGTCAGAAGAATTCGAGAGAGTTGAAAGGAAATGCCATGTGCCCATTAGTGCATACCTTCCCTAAGCCAATCTGCCACCCATCTGAAAAACGTTTAATGAATAGCCTCTAAAGGCCAGGTCTAGGCTTACATATACTGTGGGCTGATGGTGAAACATCTTCCAGGGGCTCATGGGTAGTTAGTGGCACTGTTTGGGGAGGTTGTAGAGCCTTTAGGCTATGGAGCCTAGCTGGTAGATATAGGTCACTTGGGCCTGGTCAGCTATAGCCTAGTCCTGATTCTGGCCCCATCTGTTTCCTGATCCATCAAGATGTGAGGAGCCTCAAACATAAATAACTCCAGCCCCCATGTACTCTGCCATGCCCTCCCCACCGTAAGGGATGGTATACCTCAGGAGCCACAAAAATACCCTTCTTCCCTTGAGTTGCTTCTGCCAGGTATATGATCATGTGACAAGAAAAGTTACTACAGCATGGCGCTGGACACTTGCATTCTAAAGGTGAAGCCCGGCCCCGGAAGCAGAGGCTTGCGCCTCCTCGGTGGCGGATTTGAGGGTTTGTTTTGTTGGTAGAATTTTCTGATGCCGCTGGTGACCCACCGTGCTGTCCCGGTCCCGGCCGTCCGAGGGTCGCTGCTGGGAGACTCTAAGTGCACTGCGGAATTCCAGCAAAGGCCGCCTGCGCTCCCACCGCGAGTGGATGATGCACTATGAGGATGTTTTGAAAGAATGCACGTCTCTTCCCAAACTGTCTTCTGACTCTGGATGGGTGGTAGATCACATCCTACCCGACACCTCACCCCACACGCAAGAGAACTCTCCTGATAATTCACCATCCTCTGGATCTGCTTCAGGCCTGGACCCTCTCTTCTTAAGTCTCCTGTCAGAAGCACTCCAGAATCCCCCTCACCTTCAACACCAAATGGAACCAAGAGCACATAGGAGCCCAGCACACAGAACCTATTGCACTTCTGTCCTCCCGAGCGATCAAAGTGGACGGCTGCATCAGAATGTACGAATTGGTGCACAGAATGAAAGGAACGGAGGGCCTGAGGCAGTGGCAGGAGGAGCAGGAGAGGAAGGTGAGAGCCCTCTCGAAGATGACATCTGAACAGCTAAAGAGGTTTGATGAGCTGAAGGCACTGAAGCTGCATAAGGAATTCCAGGACTTACAGGAAGTGATGAGAAGAGTACCAGAGAAGCCCTGGGGCACCAGGAGAAGCTAAAAGCTGAGCATCGCCACAGAGCCAACATTCTCAACCTGAAGCTTCGGGAGGCAGAGCAGCATCGTGTCAAGCAGGCAGAGCAGGAGCACCTCTGGAAGGAGGAGGGCCAAGTCTGTCTGAGCAGCCTGTACACCCTGCAAGAGGAGGTCCTTCAGCTTAACCAGCAGCTGGATGCCTCCAGTCAGCACAAGGACCTGCTGAATGTCCACCTGGCTGCCTTCCAGACCCGGGGCAACCAGCTGTGTAGCCTTATCTCTGGGAATCATTCGCACCACTTTGGAGAGTGGTTGTCCCACAGCAGAGAACCAAGCTGAGGCTGAGAAAACCCTGCAGGAAATGCAGGACCTCCTCTCAAATTTGGAGCAGATCACCAGAGCCTACGAAGTCAAGAAGAAGCAGGATGAAGAGAAGGCCCGGGTCAAGATGCAAAAATCACAGGTGCAGCAATGTTCAGGGGCTCCCACCCAGCCCCCAATGCACAGTCCAGGGCCAGCAGTGACACAGAATGAAGACCTGCAGGTAAAGGTACAAGATAGTACGATGTGGTGGTATCAGCAACTTCAGGATGTGTGTTGGCCTCTGAGGGCCTGACCAGCAGCAAGGACAGTCAGGCTAAAAAGATAAAGATGGACTTGCAGAAGGCAGCCACCATCCCAGTGAGCCATACCTCCACCATTGCAGGTTCAAAGCTGAAGGAGGTCTTTGAAAAGATCCATAGACTGCTCTCCAGGAAACCTGGTGGGCGTTCTGTGTCTGTCACTCTTAACCCACAGAGGCAGGACTTTGTCCAGTACAAACTGGCAGAGAAATTTGTGAAACAAGGGGAGGAGGAAGTGGCCTCTCACCATGAAGCAGCATTCCCCATTGCAGTGGTGGCATCTGGTATCTGGGAGCTCAACCCTCAAGTGGGAGACCTCATCCATGCTCATCTCCACAAGAAGTGTCCCTACTCTGTTCCTTTCTACCCACCTTTTAAGGAAGGGACGGCTTTAGAGGACTATCAATGATGCTTGGCTACCAAGTGACAGATTCTAAGGTGGAGCAACAGGACAACTTTCTAAAATGAATGTCTGGGAGGATCCATCTGTATGCTGCCATTATCCAGCTCCAGTAGCCATGAGCAAGAGGCTCATCCTCATGGCTTAAATCATGGCTGGAGCTGGTTGGCACAGATCTTAAACATGGAGCCTCTGTCAGATATGACAGCCACTCTCCTGTTTGACTTTTTTGGAGGTGTGTGGGAATGCCCTCATGAAGCAGTACTGGGTCCAGTTCTGGAAAATGATACTTCTCATCAAAGAGGACTACTTCCCCAGAATTGAAGCCATCGCAAGCTCAGGACAGATGGGTTCATTCATGCGCCTGAAGCAGTTCTTGGAGAAATGTCTGCAACGCAGGGATATTCCTGTCCCCAAAGGCTTTCTGACTTCCTCCTTCAGGCGCTTCTAATGTCCCTCCGTCATCAGTCATCACATCATGTTGCAGGAGGGGCAACAATAAAGCTAAGACAGCAAGTTTGGGAGAAATCATGTCAGACTTAGAACTTCCTTAGTGTGTGTATATCTGCATCCTTTATGAGGAGTATGTTTCAGAAAGTTGGTGATACTTTATCTGTTTCCCTCTAACCTGGAGTGAGCACACCGTTTTCACTTCCACTCTGCCTCATCCCTTTTCATACACATACTTAGAAAGAGTAAGTCTCTTAAGATTCCCTTTATAGTATCGTGTGATGGTGAGGCCAATCAATCTCTTCTACGCAGTGGGCGTGAGGTAAAGTACTTTATACTTGATGGCTTGTGAACTCCTTGTATATTCACAGGACATGTATGATGTAGGCATGGATTGAACCCCAGAGCGCATCAGGGTAGCAGGTATGTGGACCAGGACTAGGAACATGCAACAGTAGAGTACTCCCTGTTGTCTGGATCTGGAATTTGGTCCCTGAATAGCTGGGGATGCTGTACTAGATTAGGTACCTTTTTGTTGTTTTTCTGACAAAAATGAAGATGGGCTAAGATACAGCCTATGGGGTTAGGTGAAAACTGAAAATCATCACCAGTGAATGCACTGGCATCAGGAGGAGCTGGCTGTCTCAGATGGGAGTCGGCATTAAGAATAGATAGACTCTGTACAGCACAGGCAGAGCCACAGATCTATCTATTCCTGCAAGCAGAGGGCCTTGTGTGGTGGGTATTCATTGGTTCTCTTAAATGGCCTAAGCATTTCATTTGATTACAGTGCCCCTCAAACAAGTAATAAAGCTTGAATTTTTTTTAAAAAAAAAAAAAGGTGAAGCCCATCTCTTTTCCTCAAGGAATGTGCACAAGAAGGTAATAGGATTCCTTTTCCTGCAGGGGAGCCATGTGTCATGTCCCTGCAAGCCAGGCTTAAGGGAGGGAGGCCAAGTTCCCAGAGTCAGCAGTTCATGCTCACAGGGGTCAGCCCAGAGACTAACTTCTAATTGGCATTTGTAGGTGACAAAGCCAAACCTGTCAGGTCGGGGACGTGGGGAGCCAGACCAGAGGTTTGAAGCTCCTGTGAAGCAGTTGATCCAGGGAGGTCTGCCCTGAGCACCTGGCAGTTGCCTTTTTATTTGGTTTCCCATGGTCTGGAAATGAAGGTCAGCTGGCCCTGGAGAGTGGCTAAAGGCAGAAGAGTGAGATGTACGGAAATAATGGCAGAGCTGTGAGAAGCTGGGGGTAGGGGTGGCCCTGAGGCAGGAGGAACCCTCCAGGC